TGCTGGAAGTTTGGAGAAGAGCAAAACCAAGGCCAAACTTTCCGATCCTGCTGAGGAGCCCAAACCCAAGATTTCCAGGGTAGCGCAAGCGCTCGGGCGGAATCCAGCTGCCTTCACTGAGAAGAGGGCTAGGAAGACCAAAGCCCCCAAGACACACAAGGAGGCGACAGCAACCGAAGAAGACGAAGAAAAGAGCCATGATTCTGAGGAGACTCTTGTACTTGGGCAGGACAGTAAACATGGCTCCCTGTGCACTCACATTCAATCCATGAACCTTTTTGGTTCTCAAAACTGTTCTCACTTGTCTTGCAAAGAAAGCTCCATATAATATCTTTATCGCCAAGAACATCTGATTCTTTGCCAAAAGTCTTGCCCTATTTCTCCCAATACTGGCTCCAGCCACTTTCCAATCACGGCTAGGCGGTACATGTTATTTTGCACCCATTTGCTCCCAGCTTACCCGGGCCTCACCACCAGGAGCCACCAGAAAAGAAGGCGAAGAAGGCCATGATACCAGCCTCGGGATAGAACATAATTCCTTCTTGTTTCAATCGTACGTACAAAAAGCAACAATCAGCTAATCAAAGCACAATCTACCTGACACTGATTTTACTTGACTTAGTGTTTGGTCTTCTTCGTCAGGGTGGTGTTCTTGGAAGAGTGGGCTTGAGGGGTGCTTACTACGACCACCTGGCAGAGCGCAAGGAGGCTTTGAAGTCTGTGCACCCTGATAAGACCCCGATGGAAATCCTCAAGCTTGCACGCAATGAGTGCCCAACTCAACTGTATGGCCGATACATGGTGTTATCAGTTCAATTGTACCTGGCGCAGTCTCACAAAAATGGGGAAATGTTACAGTTTCCTCTTCTTGGAACCCAATTCTTGCTGAGGTGGCGTGCTCACCCTGACCGTGTGGCATCCATCAAGGGCATGACTAAGAGCGAGCTGAGCAGGCGCAGGCTTAAGGTCCAGAAGTCTGGTGAAGGTGAACAGGGTGAAACCCCCAATGGTGAAAGCGCCAATGGTGAAAGCGCCAATGGTGAAAGCGCCAATGGTGAAAGCGCCAATGCTAGTGGAAGTGGTGATGCTCCAAACGGAGGCAATGATTCAGGTGATGCTCCTAGTGGAGGATCCAGTGGAGCCTGAGTGAAGCACCCAAAGGGCAATTGATCTCTTGGGCGAGATTTTGTTGTGGCTCATGACGGTTACTGCCATTTGTCCAAACGCACCAGGAACAAGTTGTCAAGTGTGTTGTTTATATAATCGAGCCATGGGGCGCTGCCTGTCACATGTCACAGGGTTCGTGCCCACTATGAATAGTGGGAGAGGGAACTGTGATGCTTCCTTAGACCTGCAGTTGCAGGCAGGAGGTGGTGTAGGCAAATCGAAAGGCATTTCAATTTGACGCTGGCCAAGAGCCATAGAAAGCTTACGCTTTGGGGGTTGGACAAAAATAATTGCTTAGCAGTCGGCACTGTCAACTCAAGTTGGAGCGTCCCGTTGAGGCTCCTGTTCAGTCATCTTGAAACCGTAAACATATTTTTTGGTCAGGGGACGCTGATCGGGTGATGCAATGCTCTTGGACCAGTGACACACAATTTGCAGTTCTTGAAGTGCAAGATTCTGGTGGGAAATCGATGGTGGACACTCCACGGTCTACATGGAGGGATCTCCTGCACGAGTTTGAGGATGAGGGCATAGTCGAGTATTATGTGAATGGCCATGATGTTGAGAAGGTTTCATCACATGAAGGCCTGGGGTCATGTTTGTAGGCTAGCCTCAAGGTGTGATTTGCTCCAATCAGGCGAGGAATTCTACAAGTTCAAACCAAAGGCGACAGGGGTTTACTATCAGTGGAATGTGCCTTCCTCCCTGAATGGAATGAAGTATGCAAATTTGGCATCGGCGTTCAACTGCTCTGTCGCTTGGCTCAGCTGTGGGCGGTTGATGTGTCTTGCTGCCTGCATGTCTTTTTTTCTGTCCGCTGCTGTTTGTTTTGTACACCGGCAGGAGCTGGAGAATTCCAAACTCTTCTCGCGATGTTGGAGAGTGTTCTATTCAAAAGAATCAAAGGTTTCTTGAAAGCATCACACTTTGATGCTCATGACAGTTGGTTACATACAGCCAACCTGAAACACACAGTGGCTAAGCGGCTAAACACCAAGGAAATTATGCCAAGAGGCATGGCCAAATTAATATGACAATGGCTGCATACAGCTGAATCTTATGATATCTTATGATTTTTTAGACCTGACAGCATCTACCCATGAACCTTCTTTGCTCAGGAAAACCTCTCTATTTCCTGAGGAAGGAGCTTGTCCTTCATGAGAATGAAGCGGTCCGGCTGATCTAGCTCAGCGCCCGACAAATGTGGATGGACCAAGAGATCGACTGATCGACTCGAGAAAAAGGGGCGGCGGTGGTTGAGCAGTGCTTCCCAAACATGTCTCAAAAGTATGTGGAACTCAAACTCTGGAACCCAAATACAATGTTATAGCACCCATATCCAATGAAATTATCTTACTAGTATATGTATATATCGTGTTGGAACGCTTTTAGACCTTTGATCTCTCCCATCTTTGATCGCTCGCTTTTCTGCATCTCCTCCAACCCGTTCGCATCGTTCATCGAAGAAACCGACGCCTGTGTGTCCTTCTGCATCCGCGTGTCGGGGGCGGCGGCTGCGTCTGGCGAACGGTGCAGATCGAGACCAGTTCCACCCCGCAGAGAAAATGGACGCCGATGCGTCCAAGGGATCCATTCTGATGCTGAAATCCGAAGGTGAGCACTGACCCGAAGGTGCTTCCGAAATCCGAGAAACGAGGTGCTTCGACATCTGCGACTATCCATTGTTTGTTCATCGAAGTCGGGATCGTAGAGCCAAACGCTCCACCCGGTGTCCCGCCTGGGGAGACCGGATCTTTCGCCACGGCCTGGGGCAAAAAGAAAACAGGGTGTCCCTATGGATTCCAAGCACCATTCACTTAATAGGTGTCTTTTACCCAACTCCATGGTTTTAGAGGTTCCATTACAACATGCAGCTTGGAAGTATTTAGGTTGTAGATCTGCAATCCATGGTGCTTTCCTGGAAGAAATCGCCTCGCACGTGATTTTTTATTTCCTGTTTCTCAAAGTGGTGCGGGTCACATCTTCCAGTTCCAATGGATTTCCCAAGAGAGGTTGGGATCGTCCGACCTGTCTGGTATCGCATCGAGCTACGTGGTCCTGAAGAACCTCTGTCGGTCTTGCCCAGAAAGTATCCATGGTTTTTGAGGTTTATGATGGTGTATGAAGAATGTATAGAGATCACACCCGTGGCAAACCCACATAGGAGTAAATCCACTGAATCCATCTTGACACCTCCCCTGGTTTCTTGTGGTTATTTGAGCCTTGTGGAGAGCAAGACATTCCAAGACATCTCCGCTCCGTCTTTCCGCGGGCGCCGAGCTTCGGTCAGCCAACGGAGAGCTTTTGGGTCGACCACTCCGTCCTCCCGTCT